GCTGGTGCCCCCCGGGCCCGCGCTGGGTGTATCACGTCCTTCCGGACGATAGTCTGCCTGCACCCCGAGTCGAGTATGGCCTCCACCGGGTTCCCATTAATCCACAGCCGTTTAATTACCTGAGCTGCGCTTGCTGCCCTCCTGTCCATGCCCTCAGCGCGCCTCTGCCCAAAGGTGCAGTCCATCAGGGTGCAGTCCCTCTTGTAGTGGCCCTCCTGGCCGCACTGATAACAGACCACCTTCGGGGCCCCTTCGGGCGAAGGGGTGCCCGGCCCCATCTCGGTCGCCCGATCCATCTTGGCTTCACCGCCCGTCCGGTTCCACCGGGGTGCCAGCCTCCTCACCGGGAGGGGGCCCAGGGAGCTCCCGGATACTTCCCCAGCACGCTGGGCTCCCGCCGGCTTTATCGCCCCGTCCTCACTCCTCCGGGGTTCTCTCGGGGGCCCCGTAGCTCCTTTCCCCTCCGGCCCCTCCGCGGCTAAGTAGTGTTCCATAAGGGTCACTGCTTCGTCTAAGGTCTCCGGAAGATGTCGCCGTACCCACTGCTGCCCCTCCGCGGGGAGGATACGGACGTATTGCTCCAATATCACTAGGTCGGCCACCTGGACCCCAGTCTTAGTCTCCGGCTCGAGCCATCTCATCCCCACTTCCTTTACCCGCTGTGCCACGGCTCGTGATAGCTCGCGGGGGTCGTACTTGGCCTCGCGGAACCGCCGGTGGTGCGTCTCTGGGGTCACTCCCAGTTGGTCCAGAATTGCCTCTTTAACTTTGAAATAGCCCAAGGCATCACTGGCGGACATCCCCCGGTAGGCCAGCTGGGCCGACTCTGACAAGTAGGGCACGAGGAGGGTAGCCCAATGTTCTGGCGGCCATTTCGCGGCGGTGGCCACCCTCTCGAACGTCACCTGGAAGGCCTCTGGGTCGTCCTCCGGCCCCAATTTCGTTAGCCAAGTTTCGTCAGCCTTATGGGCAATTGGGTGCCGACCCCCTCTCCTCCTCCAGACCCTGCTACTGTCCCCGGTACCGTCACTGGTGCGCTTCGCGCCATCTGCTCCTGACGCTCCTGGAGCTGGTTGAGGAGCTGTTGCAGCGCCTGCATCTGCTGCTCATGCTGCACCTTTTGGGTCTCAGTCCACCACTCCAGGATCTTGTTTGCCTCCATCATATCCTGGCAATCAAGACCTCGTTAACGATCCTGGCAATCAATACCTCGTTAACGCTTTCTCCCTATCCGGACCCCCGTCTCGGGGTCTACCGTACCCACATTCTCCACCATGTGTAGGGGTTCCCCCCCCCGTGCGGAGGGGCTTACGTCCGCCCCCCCTCAGTTTCTCCAGTCGTTAGTGACTCAATGCGCCGGCTTTACTCGGCTCAGCTTGCCCGGTTGGGGAAGGGGGTCCGGGCCCACCCTCACTCTGGACCCCGACCCAGGGCCCTAAGGTAAGGGAAAGGTTCCCCACCTAGCAGAGGGGGTCGAGAACCCTAAACTCCCCCGCTCTCAGGGTCCACGTCCCCGCCCTGGGCCACTTCTTCCCCCGCGTCAGCACGTTCCACCACCAGGCTCCCGCTCCAGTCCCGCCCAGAGTCGCCAATACGTGGATCCGAGCGCTTGCTCCCAGGGGGGATCCGTCTCCTCGGCGTTCCCCCTTCTTGCTGGTCCGTTGCGGCCTTTTGAATTGCCCACCGGTCGCAGGCAAATGACATCAGTCCCCTCGTCATCCTCCGGCCCCCCCTCGGGCCGGCCTCCCCGTGACGTCATTTCCCCCGCTTCCTCCCCCTGTCCCTTGACGGCGTCGTTTGCCGGCCCTGGCTCATCACCCGGCCGGCGCGCCGGCCCCCCCACTCGGGGAAGACAGACGGCTCTGCAAGCCGCGCGTGGGGGTGAGCTTCTCCCCCGTGGACGCGGCATCCTGGGGGGGGGGCCCCCCCCGCCACACCCAGCAAAGTGAGCTAAAGGCAGCACAGTTTTGAGCAGAGTTAATTGGTGCCATGGTTTTATTGTCCCAATATCTGCTACAGAAAAGGACTGATTGAAATTGATGTAGCAAAACAGGAGGTTGAACCTTCAAATGTAACCCTTTAATCTCCCTGCTTTTTGCTGGGTTTACATCAAATCTTTCACACCTGGGCCATGTATTTACTCACATTACATTTTCATTTTTGTTCATTTTCCATCAGATATTTTTCTGCTTAACTTCTTAGATTTATAACAAAACAACAACAACAACTCAAAAATGTTCAGTGAAACTGACCATAGCAACTGTTTCAGGGCTTGATCCTGCAAGATGTTCAGCACTCTGGGCCCAGTACTGCCAACTATTTAAGCATGTGTTTAACTTACGGGATATGAGTGGGCCTATTGGTCTAAAAAACCCAACTCCAATGCTTAAAGTTAAGCACGTGCTAATGAGTTTTTCTGGCACATAGACAGAGCCCTTAACATCTTGCAGGATCAGTAATGTATTAGGGGAAATCCTAAACTCCTCTCCCATAAGCCCCTTGGATGCACCAGGCTTGAATAGCAGTAGAAATGCCTTTGTTCTGTTGTGCAGCGGAGAACAAGCAGCATAACAGAATGTGCGCGAGGTTTGCACCAACCCACTCCAGCACAATGCTCCACATTGGCCATATCCGGGAGACTGTGCAAGGGGTTCATAAGTAGGTGCAGAGAATGACACCAGCATGGCCACTGGATGTGACAACTGCACAGATTCAAAGACAGCAAAACCTTTGAATTAAGAGATTGAGTGAGAGCGAGTGCACAACAGCCCGTGGCCACTGCTACAGCTCATGGGGCCAGAGTAACAAGTGCAGACAGAGTGTTCCTTGCCCTGGCTCTGAGTTGAATGACGACTCATATGGCTCCTTTAGTGCATGGCTGTGGAGTTTGCCCTTTTTGAGTATAGCCCAGACAAGCTGCAACTTGACTGTTTTTAGTAGTGTGTGTTTTCACTGTGCTAGGAGAGCTCCGGGATAGCAGTTCAACTCACCACATGAATACACCTTGAGTTGCTTTTTCTGAAAATACAGATGCCAGTGTCAGGCTGGTTTACTGACATAGTCTGTACTCACCCAGAACAAGTTGCGTGTTTGAACTTCTCATTCAGCACACAGGCCAGGCCAAGGGGCATGTGCATTAGACAGAGAAGCTACCCTTCACGCACAGTAGCCAATTTCAGACGTTAACTTCACTCTGTTCCATCATAGCATCTTCCAAAGAGTCTGGACCCCTTGGACTAGTAATCTGAAAAATTCCCTGGGAAAGCATAATATACTACACAGGATAATAAAGGCTTTGCAATTTACAAGATTTTACACACATCTGAGACAGATGCAGAGAATGAAAAAGAATGAGTCTCAGTTTTATGCTAATATCAAAACTATGTGTCTAAAATTAGGCTCCGATATCTGTATGGAGTCCAGCGGTGGGCAATAAGCTGTGAATGGTTCACTAGGGTTAGCCTCTGGCAGGCTGCTGCATCTTTATTGACATGTGCCACAGCAGGTATGGGTGCTTGCAGCTCTCATTGGCTGCAGATCGGCGTTCCCGGCCAATGAGAGCTGTTGGAAGTGGCGTGAACTGGGACACTGCTTCCCACCTCTCCCATTGGCCAAGAACACCAATCCATGGCCAATGAGAGCTGCGAGTGCTGTACTTGTGGTGCCTCTCTGGGGCTAATCTTGGCTAACAGTGTATCACTTTAGGTGCTCTTTTAAAAAAAAATCTATGTTGCAGCAGTTGCCATTGAAGCATAAAAATTTATAAGTCAGGGCCATTCCAAGGTGGGCACAGGGTCTGGGGCAACCCTCCTATTCCATCACAGGCCCACCCCGCTCCCTTTCGTCCTCAAGCCCCGCCCTGCTGCTGCTCCGCCCCTTTTCCCCTTCCCTGAGCAACACGGTACGGAGGATTATGAGCCTGCCATGGTGGGAGATGGGGTCGTCCCTTCCCACTACCACGTGGGTGGCAAGAGTGGGGGCAGCCTGGAAGCTGGGTCCACCCCACCCCATGTCACCCTCCCAGCCTGCTGTGCTCAACTTCTCCACAGCAATGGGAAGGGGAGCACCCTGAGACCAGGGCACTCTGCTTCCCACCACCATGGAGAAGCCAAATGCAGTGGCTTGGGAGGGCAGCATAGTAGGATGGAGCAAGCTGCCGGGCTGCACCAGCTCCTGCCGCCTGCCTGGTGAGTGGGAAGGACCCGTGCTGTCCTCCCACACCAGGCCTCCATAATCCCAAGTCCCTCCCATCCATAGGACAGTTGGAACCACTGCTGTGGAGCCCCCAAAAATGTGGGGTCTGGGATGGCCTCCTTGATTCATCCCATGACTCTGACCACAGCATTTACCAGTGCGGTAATTAAACATTTTAGTGCCCAGACAGCAAACACATTTGCATCTCCTACCATTTTTTTCATCATTTTTCCACCCGTTTTCCACATGCACTGCTTTACTTCCTTGGCATTTGCCTGAGTCACCCTTCTTTGGTCACGCCTGTGGCATTTACCACAGATAGATCATATCATATGTTTGATCATACCATATATTAGCGACTCTAATTTTGAAGTGAATAAAACTATGTTGTCTCTATAGATCCATTTTCAATTATATATAGCAGTATAGCAATCTATATTTATATATACACATAAGTGCACAATTGTGCATATATTTCCTTAAGGACTGGATCCTGCTCAGCCCTATTTCCAAGGTACACCAATTGAAGTCAGACTGGATACAACTGATGCAGCTTTTGTTGACGTTATTCATACTGATTCAGCTCCTACAATTCCATACCTGGGTAAGTTTGCAGCTGTTGTTTATTGTTATTATTAATTTGTCCTGTGGTACAATCATAGAATCATAGAATACTAGGACTGGAAGGGACCTCGAGAAGTCATCGAGTCCAGTCCCCTGCCCTCATGGCAGGACCAAATACTGTCTAGACCATCCCTGATAGACATTTATCTAACCTACTCTTAAATATCTCCAGAGATGGGGATTCCACAACCTCCCTGGGCAACTTATTCCAGTGTTTAACTACCCTGACAGTTAGGAAGTTTTTCCTAATGTCCAACCTAACCCTCCCTTGCTGCAGTTTAAGCCCATTGCTTCTTGTTCTATCCTCAGAGGCCAAGATGAACAAGTTTTCTCCCTCGTCCTTATAACATCCTTTTAGATATCTGAAAACTGCTATCATGTCCCCCCCTCAGTCTTCTCTTTTCTAAACTAAACAAACCCAATTCCTTCAGTCTTTCCTCATAGGTCATGTTCTCTAGACCTTTAATCATTCTCGTTGCTCTTCTCTGGACCCTCTCCAATTTCTCCACATCTTTCTTGAAATGCGGTGCCCAGAACTGGACACAATACTCCAACTGAGGCCTAACCAGCGCAGAGTAGAGCATAAGAATGACTTCTCGTGTCTTGCTCACAACACACCTGTTAATGCATCCCAGACTCATGTTTGCTTTTTTTGCAACAGCATCACACTGCTGACTCATATTCAACTTGTGGTCCACGATAACCCCTAGGTCCCTTTCTGCCATACTCCTTCCCAGACAGTCGCTTCCCATTCTGCATGTGTGAAACTTGATTGTTCCTTCCTAAGTGGAGCACTTGGCAATCTACAATCTACAAGTCCGAGTCAAATTTTGACCCCATTGTGCTAGGTGTTGTACAAACACAGGAAAAATAACTAAAATAAAGTAAACTGCCAGAAACAAACCAACCAACCAAAAAGTCCTTGCCCCAAAGAGCCTACCATCTATAGCCATATAGTGGTATGTACAGCTGCTGCCAGGAAATACATGACAGAATTTAAATTGAAATTTGCTTATCTTTCTTACAAACATTGCAGGTTTTGGAATGAGCCAGGCGGTTGGACATCTTGATTTTTACCCAAATGGAGGCATACAAATGCCAGGATGCAAGAAGAATCCTATTTCACAGATTGTTGACATTGATGGCATCTGGGAAGGTAAATATGTTAAGCAGATGACGACTTCTGTTAAGAGTCAACATCAAACTGAATTGACCTAACACAGTAGCAGTCTTTGTATTTCAATTATTTTAGATATTTTTTTTGTCTGCCAACCACTACTGCCACATACAACAGTGAAACTGATAGTACAGCTCTTATGTATAGTGGGGAACATGGTATAGTAGAGGGATCAAAGAAGGAGTTGCACAAGAACTCTGCTTTGTGAAAAATACGATGGCATCAAGGTTTGGAGCTTTCACCTCCAACCAGCTAGAGTGTCTGAACTGTCAAGCTGTGGGTATCAGAACAAGGTGAGGGCCAAGGAGCAATAACAGCCTGCTGCCTTTCCATGTCTGTTTGGGCTCCATGAGTCTGCAAAATCCCAGATCCCACCAGCCTTGTTTCTTCAAGGATTTTGGGTGACCCACTAGTCAAACTATTCAGCTTCATACCTAATGGAGCAACATTCACTTGACTTTACTGTAAATAGTACATCATGCTGCCAAATAACAGGAACAAACTTTTGTGTAATTGTTCCAGTGCTCTTTACACTGTTCCTTGGTAATGCCACAATAGAAACAAACATTCATTAATTGCTCTCTCTCATCTGCAACTGCTGCCAGTTAGCTAATCAGCTAAACAAACCCTACTCAAACTGTGCCAGAAAGTTTAGCTCCAGGACAGCATTATTCAGCTTTCTCTTACATACTAACCTGGCAGCTGCCCTGGCTGGGAATGGAACAACATTCACATCTATTTCTGCAATGGGATCTCTGGCTTGTGAGCAATAGCTGCTAAATTCAAGTGTGTTCTGTTCTGTCATTACCAGTTAGCAGTGTGAGTTGGCACTGGAACAATAAATTATTAGGCAGCATTTATTTGGCATGTGCAAAATAAGGAACAAATACAAATATGCCAAACTCTTTCCAACTATTATTGTTAAGAATCTGTATATAATGCCATAAATGTACATTGTATTTGACAAAACATAAACAAAGCACATACCTTGACCCCAAAAACTTGCAGTTTAAGATCCTGAAACTGCACTGGGATTAGCATGCACGAACCTTTATTCTTTGGGGAATTTCATTGATAAATCAGGATATACTGGAAAGATAACACCTCAGCTACAGCAAACACTTGCTTTCTCTCTCAAAAAAATCTGAAATTTTTTGTGGATTTTATTTCTAGCTCATCACCATGAACACCTTAAAATGTATGAGTCTATGAAGCTCTTTTTTGCAATTACTGGCCTATTTATGTAGTCTTTACTCAGAAATTCTGGCATGTGTCAGCACTGCAGGATGAAGCTCTCTATTAATAATGTTACACAAAACCCCTTCCACTTAATTGCCACTTTTACCCAGGATTTAGGAAATTGGAGTGCAAAATAATATATATAAAATAACAACATGCCCCTCCTCCTGAGGTGACCTCTGTCTGTGTAAATCAGCATTGCTGCAGGACAATCAGTGTTGAAGAGGACATAATACTTAACACACTGCATTTTGTTTCCTTTCATATAATGAGAAGATGAGCTGTTTTCTACAGGGGCCCTTTTTTCATACTGGTGAGAATTAATGAAGTTCATACACAATAGGGGGCTACTCATGTAAGCATTCACCAGCATGTACAAGGCTTCCACAATCCACCCCTGCATTTGGTACCCATCTGCATTTTACACATTCTGTACTTTGGGCAGTTCACCAAAGGTAAATAGTCACTGAAGAAATAAGACTCAAACTGCAACTCAGGTGCTGCCCAGAATTGTGACAATGTAACGAGGAATTTATTAATCATGCAAATGACATGATGAGTCCAATACCACAATTCTATCCTGCATAGTTTACAGAAAAGAAAAATGAACCAGAAGCTTTGTAGTATGATATTTAATAAGAGCTTCTTTCCACAGGAACTCGTGACTTTGTTGCTTGTAATCATTTGCGAAGCTACAAGTACTATTCTGACAGCATCGTCTTCCCTGATGGTTTTCTAGGATACATCTGTGCTTCATATGACATTTTTGAGACAAAAGTAAGTCATTCTCACATCTTAGGTCAATTACAAAATGAGTAGCTCTTGTCTGTATATCTGCATGCAGTAGAAATAGAGCCTTGCTAGCCTACACCACTTTGCGCTGCGTGAGTCTAGGCATAAGGGGCATGAAGGGGTGTGCTGGGGAACTGGGGAAGAGGGGTGGGGGTTGAGGCACGGAAAGGGTAAGGGGGAGCAGAGTTACACCTGCCTCATCAGTGGTCTAAGTTTCCTGGGAGAATTCATGCCAGTGGCATAAATCAGAGGTGCTCCTGAAACCTCTTACCTTGCTGTGTCAAAGAGGGTCTCAGACTGGGGGAAGAATCTGCCCCAGTAATTATTTATTGGGCACATCCAAGGAGAAGGGAACAAGCCCCTGTATTTTAGCATTTTGCCTTTCAAATAATTTTGAAATGAAATAATTTACCTTTAAGGTTCAGTAAATGCTCAGCGCATTCCCTGATGAACTCTTGGCCTCAAGGAACAAATACAGATGGAATGTAGCCTAAAGCTCTGTCCCATAATTCTGTATATGACCCAGCTCTGTTAGCCAGCCCTGTAGCAGGCTCGTCAGCTTTGCTATGTGGCCCAGCTACCAATAGAAGGGACCAGAGCTCCACACGCAAGGGGAAAATAACAATACCTAAACCTTTGCATCACCAAAGCACTTTGCAGCCACACCTGAGCCAGGAAGAGCCTGAGCTCTGTCTCCTACCCCCATTCTAAAGCACTGAGTTTCAGAGGGAACATAGAGAAATGTAGATGCCTCCTCCTAGCACAGTGTTTCTTAAACTTTTTAAGACCAAGGAACACCAAACAATTTTTTTTTAACAAGGAACACCAAGGATTTTTGTTGAGGGGAAAAAAAAGGTTCGGGGGGGGGGAAGGGTTGGGGGAAAATTTATTGAGGGAAAAAAAGGGTTGGGGGAAAGTTATTAAGAAAAAAAAAAGTTGCCTGTCTCTTTAAGGGCACCCATTTTGAATTCTGTTTTTCTCCACGGCACACTTCCGACTGCCTCGCAGCACACCGACATGGTGCGGAACACAATTTAAGAAACACTGTCCTAGCAAGCAACAATCAAATGATGAAGTATAAAGGAGACATCCATGCCTCCAAAGCCGTGAGGTGCCAGACAGGGCTCTTCCTCTTGCTGCCCTCTCTAGGGAGGGTCATTTCAAATTGAGAGTTTTTTAGAGTTGTCCCATAGACATGGTTCAGCACCATATTTCTGCACAGCTCATGACTACACAAGGCTATTTACCAGAAGGGCTAGAGTGAACTGCATGGCATCAGCTGGATAGTACTGAGGGTTGACATTCAAATGGTGGGGAGGGGTAGAGGGACTGTGAGGGGACAGAGAATGAAGCATTTTATAGGATTCTACCAGAGAGCTAGAGAAACAATTACATTTTTAGAGTTTCTGTGACCAAATAATTGTTTCCTGTCTCATTGGGATAGATCTTCATTAATGGGTACATGTATTTCAATTAGGAAAACTGCTTCCCATGCCCTCAAGGTGGATGCCCACAAATGGGTCACTATGCAGATAAATATAAGGACAAATTTACTTCTGGGATTAATAAACTTTATCTGAACACTGGAGAGGCCAAAAATTTTGCTCGTAAGTTCCTCTTTTTTAATTGTTTCTACTTATACATGAATAACAACATAATTTAAAATATTTCCCTCTTGCTTTAAATTAATTTTAATAAATGAAGGATCATATGTAGCAGAGCTTTGTATTATCATGCTACTTCTCCTTCCACTGATACTGAAACGATGAGTCATCAAGTGAAATTAATAGAACAGGTTTAAAACAAAAGGAAGTATTTCATCAGACAATCAACCTGTGGAACTCCTTGTCAGAGGCTATTGTGAAAACCAACACTATAACAAGCGTAATGGGGGAAAGCCAGAAAGTAATAAAAGACAGCTATATTAGCCCTAGGCTGAACAACTCCCTGTTGCTATGGCAACCAAACAGCAGTTACTGGGTTAATTAAGACACCTGGAGTCAATTAAGAGGCACTTAGGTTAATTAAGGCACCTGGAAGAAATTTAGAAGAACCCGCTGGAACCAGTTGAGACATATTTGATTGGGACACCTGCAGCCAATCAAGGACTAGCTGGAATTGGTTAAAAGCCTCTCTGTTAGTCAGTTTAGTGGAATGCCAGGAGTAGGATGTGGTTTTGGAGATGAGGCACTGTAGAGATACTGGTAGACATTTGGGCTATGTCTACACTCACGGCTTCTTGCTTAAGTACAGCTGTTCTTCTGCAAGAATCTGCAGAGCGTCCACACTGCCTGCCTGCTCTTGCACAAGGAAATTTACAGTATGGTGTGGTAATAGAGAGCTTCTTGCACAAGCACTATGTTCTTTTTTTATCAGGTGTAAGCCCTCTTGCACAGGAGCTCTTGCGCAACAGGGCAGTGTGGACGCCAGGCAGGGATTTCTTGTGCAAGGGCTAAAATGGCCATCAGAGCTTTCTTGCACCAGAGAGCGTCCACATTGCCATGGGTGCTCTTGTGCAAAAGCACAGCTCGCACACGGCAGTGTGGATGTTTTCTTGCGTAAGACTTCTTGCACAAGAACCTTTGCGCAATATGTTCTTGCACAAGAAGCCTTCAGTGTAGACATAGCCTAGGAGGGAACCATGCAGGTATTATGGGCTATAATAGTAAAGAAAAAGGAGGGACAAGGTAGAACCGGGAAGCAAGATCAAATCAGTATCTTAGATGCCTATATACAAATGCAAGAAGTACGGGTAAAAAGCAGGAAGAACTTGAAATGCTAATAAACACAACTATGATATTGTTGGTATCACAGAGACTTGGTGGGATAATATACATGATTGGAATAGTGGTATAAAAGGATACAGCTTGCTCAGGAAGGATAGGTGGGGGAAAGGGAGGAGGTGTTGCCTTATATAGTAAAAATGTATACACTTTGACTGAAGTGGAGATGGACATAGGAGACAGATGTATTGAGAGTCTCTGGGTTAGGCTAAAAAGGGTCAAAAACAAGGGTGATGTCATGCTAGGGACTTACTTCAGACCACATATCCAGGTGGAAGAAGTGGTTGAGGCTTTTTTTAAACAACTAATAAAATCCTCGAAAGTGCAGGATTAGGGGGACTTCAATTATCCAGACATATGTTGGGAAACTAACTGCATTGAAGACAACTTTTTATTTCAGATGGTTGAAAAAGCTACTGGGGGGAAGCTGTTCTAGATTCGATTTTAACAAATAGGGAGGAACTGGTTGAGAATTTTAAAGTGGAAGGCAGCTTGGGTGAAACTGATCATGAAATCATAGAGTTCATGATTCTAAGGAATGGGAGAACAGTAAAACAGAGACAATGGATTTCAGGAAGGCAGATTTTGGTAAGCTCAGAGAGCTGGTAGGTAAGGTCCCATGGGAAGCAAGACTAAGGGGAAAAACAACTGAAGAGAGTTGGCAGTTTTTCAAAGGGACATTATTAAGGGCCCAAAATCAAGCTATTCCGCTGTGTAGGAAAGATAGATAGTATGGCAAAAGACTGCCTTGGCTTAACCAGGATATCTTGCATGATCTAAAAATAAAAAAGGCATCATATAAAAAGTGGAAACTAGGACAAATTACAAAGGATGAATATAAGCAAACAATACAGGTATGCAGGGGCAAGATTAGAACAGCAAAGGCACAAAATGAACTCAAACTAGCTGCAGACATAAAGGGAAACAAGAAGACATTTTATAAATATATTAGAAGCAAGAGGAAGACCCACTGCTCAGGGTAGGTCCACTGCTCAGTGAGGAGGGAGAAACAGTAACAGGAAACTTGAAAATGGCAGAGGTGCTTAATGACTTCTTTGTTTTGGTCTTCATCAGGAAGTCTTATGATGAAGGAATGCCTAACATAGTGAATACTAGTGGGAAAGAGGGTAGATTTAAAAGATAAAATTAAAAAGAACAAGTTAAAAATCACTTAGAAAAGTTAGATGTCTGCAAATCACCAGAGCCTGATGAAATGTATCCTAGAATACTCAAAGAGCTGATAGAAGAGGTATCTGAGCCTTTAGCTATCATCTTTGAAAAATCATGGAAGACAGGAGAGATTCCAGAAGACTGGAAAAGGGCAAATATAGTGCCCATTTATAAAAAGGGAGATAAGAACAACCCAGGAAACTACAGACCAGTCAATTTAACTTCTGTGCCAGAAAAGATAATGGAGTAAGTAATTAAGGAATTCATCTGCAGGCACCTGGAAGATAAGGTGATAGGTAACAGCCAGCATGGATTTGTAAAGAACAAATCATGTCAAACCAATCTGATAGCTTTCATCTCATTTCTACTGTGTAGGTTGGAGGTATGAAGTATCTGTGACAATATCTGGAAAGAGTAAAGTAAGCGGGTATGCAAATATCGCCCTGTATGGAACAGGAGGAAACACAAGGCAATATCAAATTGCTAAGTAAGTTCAGTATTATAATGGAAAATTAGTTTCTCTGCTATTAGAAAATTTAATCTTTTTAATTAATGCTTCTTTCTAAACTATAGGCGAAATTCTGCTTTCACATATGGGGTGTAAATCCATATTAACTGTATTGACTCTGGATTTATGTCAGAAGACTACTTTGAATTTAGCCATAACTGTGAGGCTACAAGAACCTGAATTTAGTTCAGGGGTAGACAATTTGCTAGGGTTAGTCCCTGATGGGCCAACAAATGCTTTATTTATCTACATATCCACAGATACAGCCACCCACAGCTCCTGTTGGCTATATTTAACCATTCCCAGCCAATGGCTGCAGGACCATGCTACTTCCCACAAATCCCATTGGCCAGGAATGGTCAACAATGGCCAAAATCTGCAAGAACAAATCCCATTGGCCAGGAATGGTCAACTATGGCCAAAATCTGCAAGATGCACAGGTAAATACCTGCAGATGCACAGGTAAATAAAGCTTCTGGAGACCACCAAGTGTTAAGCGAGGCGAATCGCGTCCAGTCCATAGGGCACTTATTGGCTATGCTTGGGCTAGTTTGTGATCTGTTATGCCATGTAACTTAACTGAATTAAAAAATGATACTATGGATTTACACTAGTGCAATAGTGATCCTTTTCCTTTTGGATGTTTGTAAAAATGTTGCGTCCTTTATTATAGGCTGTGCTACCAGTGCTGCTTATAATTAAGATTGTCCAACATTTTTTTTCACAAAACCCTATTTTCATGTGCTCATAACTTTGCAAAACTTTAATCATTTATGCAGAAATGTTCAATGTCAGGAATTCTGCCTTACAGAGACAGAGAGGCAGACATAAAAGTTCAGCAAAGTGATAGATAAGTTTCTGAGAGAGAGATTGGGGTAAACACAGCATTTTCTTATAACTATTTCACTAAGTAGTTGTACTGCCTCCATGCTTTAGAGCAGGAACTTTAAACTTACTAGTGAGCTCTTCCTGGTGTCAAGAATGTGCCTTTTGCCATCTCAGTAAATATTCATCCACATTTGTTAAGTGCTGAGCCTATGAACAATCTCAGCTTGACATGCTTAGTAAAGAGGTGATATTAGAGTCTGACATTTAAAGTTTCTGAAGAGTCCATCTGCACTGAATATACTCCAGTGCCTCGCAGCTGCTATCTGCAACCAGACTGTGCATGGACCATCCCAACAAAGTTATCCCATGGCAGCAGGGGCTTAGCAAGACTTTACCTGCAGAGGTTTCTCTAGGCCAGGGGTGTCCAAACTATTTTCAAAGAGGGCCAGATTTGATGAAGTGAACATGAGTGAGGGCCGACCATTTTGCCTGACATTCTTTGAACCATTAAAATTAAATGCAAATTAACTATTTTATGCAAAGTTTATTGCAAACGGCATACTTTTCATTTCGTCACATGGATGACAAATCTAAACAGGTGTTAAATCACTCTGCCTTTCATATCTGAAGGCCAGATGAAAAAAAAATCCAGGAAGCTGAAATATATGTCAGGAACATTGTAAAGTACATTACATATTATTGGTAATAAAGGTTGTCTGTCAACTTTTAAGTTCAAAAAATATGAACAGGAACATAACACCAAGTATATATGTTGTGTCCAAATATATTTATAACTGATTTAGACCAACTGACATTAACTGAGATTTTACAATGTATTCATCTCAATACATATGGATTCGTTGGGGGCCATAAAAGATAGATATTGCCAAATTACCTGGGGGGGGCGTATTAAACCGGAACGCGGGCCGCAATGGGCCCGCGGGCCGGACTTTGGACATGCCTGCTCTAGGCAGTCAAGGGCCGCTATGGTACCAGGCACAGGAATTGAGAGTAGGATCACTGTACCTGTTGTACCCTCAATGCTCTCCCATGCCTGGCAGTGAGGTGGATATGACCTGATGGGAATGCAGAGATGTGAGGAAGTGCAAGGAACTAAGAGAGAACAGAACTAGTGGAGAGAGATGGTTGTTGGGGCCAAAATACAGGAGCTGGGGGTGCAGGGAGAAACAAAAGGGGAGGGAGCAGGAGCCAGAGAGTGGAGTTTGGGTGTGGTAGGGCAGGAGCAGAGGAAGATGTATAATATGTGACCAAGTAAGTTAGAGGTAATATGCAACTGTGTAATTTGAGACTGTGTCATAATGCATATACACACAAAGGCCTGGTATTTTTGAACTTATGAGAGCTTGACTTTAACAATGAATTTTTAATTTTTTAATGTAATTATCTATACACTAAGGCTACGTCTACATTGGCCCCTTTTCCGGAAGGGGCATGGTAATTTTTGAAATCGCAATAGGGAAATGCGCGGGGGATTTAAATATCCCCCGCGGCATTTAAATAAAAATGTCCGCCGCTTTTTTCCGGCTTTTAGAAAAGCCAGAAAAGAGCGTCTACACTGGCCCCGATCCTCCGGAAAAAGCGCCCTTTTCCGGAGGATCTTATTCCTACTTCAAAGTAGCGCTTTTTCCGGAGGATCGGGGCCAGTGTAGACGCTCTTTTCCGGCTTTTCTAAAAGCTGGAAAAAAGCGGCGGACATTTTTATTTAAATGCCGCGGGGGATATTTAAATCCCCCGCGCATTTCCCTATTGCGATTTCAAAAATTACCATGCCCCTTCC